GGGGGAAATGACTTAGGGCCCCCACCCGCCGCCCAGGGGTGGGGGCCGGAGGGGGGTGGACAGTAGGTCCCCCCCATTATTGTCATTATGGCCCCCACCCGCCACCCAGGGGTGGGGGTCGGGGGGGAGGACAGTAGGTCCCCTCCCCTCATTATCTTTATGGCCCCCACCCGCCGCTCAGGGGTTGGGGCCGGGGGGGGGCAGTAGGTCCCCCCCCCATTATCAATATGATCCCCACCCACCGCGCAGGGGTGGGGGCTGGGGGGGGACATTAGGTCTCCCCCTTATTTTATTTTAGGGCCCCCGCCCGTCGTTTAGGGGTGGGGGCCAATAGTTTATTTTTTGTTTTTTTACAGTGAGCAGCCACAGGCTGCTCACTGTTTACTGGACATGCCCCTACTCGCGGTATAGCGAGTAGGGGCATTGGGGAGATTTTAATCTCCCTTATGATATTATGGGGGGTCATATTGACCCACAATAGAGTGAAGGGGAAGCTGGGGGGCTTATGAAGTGGTGGGGAGCACTGCTCCCTGCCTCTTCTAAAGTTACATATTACAAGGAGGGAGCTGCGAGCCGGTAGCTCCCTCCTTGTAATAAACTGATCAAACGAACACTGATACACAGTGTTTGTTTGGCTTATATTTCTATTCATTCATTAAAAAAAAAACAGGATTCGGCATGACAGTGCCGCTTTAAATCACTTTGTTTCTGTTAATGCAGCCCTAGCCACACCTCCCCTGGCTATGATTGACAGAGCCTGCATGAAAAAACAAAAACTGGTTTCACTTTCAAACAGATGTGATTTACCTTAAATAATTGTATCTCAATCTCTAAATTGAACATTAATCACATACAGGAGGCTCTTGCAGAGTCTAGCAAGCTATTAACATAGCAGGGGATAAGAAAATCTTAAGTAAACAGAACTTGCAATAAAGAAAGCCTAAATAGGGCTCTCTTTACTGGAAGTGTTTATGGAAGGCTGTGCAAGTCACATGCAGGGAGGTGTGACTAGGGTTCATAAACAAAGGGATTTAACTCCTAAATGGCAGAGGATTGAGCAGTGAGGCTGCAGGGGCATGTTCTATACACCAAAACTGCTTCATTAAGCTTAAGTTGTTCAGGTGACTATAGTATCCCTTTAAGAAAAAAATTGAAAATGTTAGACAAACAGGGTGAGGCCTGTGCGCAACCCAAGCTGGGAGTGTCTTGGTGAGCATTTTGACTGCTTAATTGAGAGTTTCAGAACTCGTGAGTCCAAGATGGCTCGATGCACATGTGGTTGCTCAAGCCAGGGAGAGGCGGGCATTCGCCATCCTAGCGTCTGCAGTAAACCCGCTGAACTCCTGCCCCCCCCCACATCAGATCGGTGGGGGTGAGACATGTATCACAGCGGATGCCACATGCTCCCTTAAGTGCTTTGCTGAACAACTGGACTTCACAGCTAAGCTCGACAGCATATTCAATGCCTGCTGGAGAAGCCTGGCACTCCGACAAAACTATGCTGCAGCCTCCACATCGGGTAAACACTTACTTCTGTGTTTGCCTGCACGCTTCCATCACAGGCATTCGGAGCCCACAGCAGTCCCCCGTCCAATACTACAGCTACACAATTGAAGCCAAAAGCAGTGGGGCTATGCCACAAGAGATTGGAGACTCACCCCAGATCCAGCTGTGGTATATATCAACTATCCCAGTAAGCCTGTACTCCTTCCGTGGTCTCGATGCCACAGTGGCTGATTTTGAGGACCACTGTGGGCCTACCTAGCTTGCATGATCCTGCCTTCTACCATCAACTAGGTGAGCTATGGGGCCTGATACGTGGACTATATGTTCCCACAATATTGTGTCGGCTGACCTTGGAGATAGTTCATATCAACTCTGGCTTGATCTCCATCAACAGTATTCCTGACTTACCTCCATGCTGAACTGACAAATGTTTTTTTTTCTTTTAGATTTTTGTTCAGTCTTCCTGAATGTGGGACCTGCAGCTAGTGTACCTGGGGGGCCTCCGGTGGCTTTTTCTACTTCACATTAAGCACTCTCAAGGCACGTAACTCCTGTTATTAATGTTAAGCTACCTGTAATGTATAACATGCACTATGCTATTCCTGCCTCTAATTTCTATATCTAAAAATGTGCACTTAATCTTGCAAGCTATGCTACAATATTGATATGTGTGTATACAGTGCCATGCTTGTTCCTTAATATGCACTTCAAAAATAAAGAATTAAAAAAAAAAAAAATCTTTAAAAAAAACTATTCATTCTCTCCATGCTTTCATTTTATGATATTGGATACATGTGCAAATAACTGTTTAGTTTCAATATTTCAGATGACTAAAGTGTGGTCATTATGTAAAAGCCCTCGAGACTTCAATGTAGCGTCGTATCCTAGGCCTCTGCTAGCTGCGTTGCTGCCTTGCCTTACCTTATCCAGATGCAAAAACAACTACACCCTTCAGGTTAAAAGGTTGTTGGTGTGCAATGCATTGTAGGATTATTATTTTTCCTTCCTTATTATAACATGCTTCATCTACTACGCTCCACAATTAGCGTGGTGACATGGTTGGATCATGCCCCATTTTATTTTGTTTTGTTCTCCCCCTTATACTGACAGCAGACCACGCACTTGAGACTCAACAAGTCACTACTCTAGGATGTGCTGGTCTTGCAAGGAGAATAACTTAGGTGATGTAGCTCCACTTGTTATGTGGTAGGCTCACAAGTATGTCCTTCGGGGCTAGTTATAGCTTTACTCTCAAGACGGCCAAATAAGCCAACATTCATTCTCTAATTAATAAAATAAGTAAATCGGAATTGTCCCATAAGCAGACCCATGACCCCAGCCATCTCAGTACTTTAAATCCTATTAGGGCTAGACTTATCCAGAGTGTTAAATCCTGCTTATCATAGGGCACATACACTAATAAACCACAACATTGCAACCACTGACAGGTGAAGACAATATCATTGATTACATTGTTACAATGGCATCTGTGTGGGATCTGTGAACTGTCAGTTCTTGAATTTCATGTGTTGGAAGCGGGAAAATAGGCAAACCAAAAGGTCTGAGTAACTTTGACAAGGGACAAATGGGGATTTGTAGTTGCAGACAGGTCATAGTGCCCATGATGAACCCTGTCCATTGCCAAAATAGCCTTCAATAGGGATGTGAGCATCAGAACTTATCAGGATCATTTACGTATGTTTTTAGGGTTCCGCCACTACATTTATGCAACAATTTTGGTATAGTAAGATCACTGCTTATTTGAAGGACTACCCACAGCGTCCAAGCCTTGTGTGCCTTGTGTGGGAATTGACAAGCTTTGAGGCATCATGTCTTGATGCCGACCCTCTGAAGCATGGAATCCCTTTCCTGTATGCCACTCTTCAGTGCCAATATAGTTCTCCGACCCCACCACTCTTTGGCTGCTGGGAGATAGCTCTGAATATCACATTTTCAGCTCTCCAATGGTTAAGATTCTAAAAATATTCTACTATTTTTCTGCAAAATAATATATTGGCACATAAACTCACACAGAATTATGAATAACACTGCAATCAACGCATTTCATTTAAACAATCTTGACGAAGAACATGTTTATACAAAATGCGTTGAGTGCAGTGTACAGAGTACACTTTTATTATTGGCATGAGCCAGGGAGGTCTAATAAGCTTCATTTATAAAAGTACCAGTTTCTACTGTAAAATGAGGGAAGAAAAAAAAAAGGACACTTTTCACACCTATGGAACTAAAGTGCTTTAGGGGTCTGGAGTGTCCATGGAGTTACAGGAACTGGAGGCTGTATCACTTAGCGATGCATACATTTCTGTGAATGCTCCCTTATGCTTAGTAGGTCATATTGATGGAGGTTGTAGAAATATCAAACGACAGACCTAAAAGCTCCAACAATCTCCATCTGATTAGGACCATTTATGAAGAGGAAGTTTCCTATGGAGAATACACTTTTCTGTTGCAAAGTGTCATCTGGCACAACTACTGCCTTTTTTGACACCATCCAGACTACGGTCATCTTTCACTGCTAAATAATGTGTCAGGGAAATACCCTTTGCTTTTCCAGTAAAGGTAGCTCCACAAACAGTACATAGTGATGTAATATTTTCAAAACAACCATCTGAGTAATTTCATGTCAAGATACTCACCTAGATACAAAAGATTAAACATTTAAAACCTATTACTAATGTGAATCTAGGCTGTTGAAAAAAATTGTGTTCAAATGTATTCAAAATAAAAATGTTGCAAGGTTTCAAAATTGCTGACTGCCTGAGAATCTCGATGTTTTACTATCTAGATGACTCTAGCACACATTGTTTCTTAGATCACTCAAGGTAAGCAGGCTGCAAATAAAGTAAGTGCACTTCCTTGAGGTGTGGTGGTGACTAAATTCTTATGCTGAACTAGTCATACAGGAAAAGGATCCATAATTCAATAGCAAATTGAAATACATGTAAACTCTGGGATTTTGCCCAAATTTCAGGATGTTAGCAGATCCTTGTGTCAGATCAGCAGCAGAGATGACAGACCACACGTACATTATCAAGAAGGAAAAACATGCTCTCAAAAACTTAAAGCGTGTATCTGGAGCGTAATGTGTGTAGTGGTGCAGTGTGAGGGGTGCTGTAGTATATATATATATATATATATATATATTTATACACACACATATATTTGTTTGGACGTATTGTATAGATTTGGGCTTGCAGGTGTTTAATGCTGAAGAATGCTTTCTTCAAGGTCTGTTATTTTTCATGGAAAGGTAGATGTTCAATAAGTTTGATGTTGGCAATGGAAAATAAACACGAAGGACCAGGAGCTAATTTTAAATACATTGTGTGCAGGACATTTTAGACAGGTAGGAAAGAGAAGGAGAATCAAGGAGTGTGATAAAATGAGGGTATTGGTGAAGAGCTGCCAGTCATCAATGCTCTACCTAAAGCAACTCAATTGGTTCCGCCTACGAGGTTCTTCACCTATGGTTAGAATATCTACAGCTCTAAGGGGGATAATCAATGGAATGTAAATGTGGTAATTTTTTTTAAATGTAATTTTTAAAATATCTACTAATCAATATATTCACTAGAGATTCCATTAGTACATCGTATAGATATATTTACCAAGCATTTAAATCAGAACTCTGTCTGACGGTCTACTTTAGGAAACCTTGATCTATTAGAAATGCATTTTGTATAGAGACTCCGAGCATCTAGCTATAAAATCCAGAGCATGATGACAATTGTGCACAAATGTAACAGTAAATTAGACCATGGAAGAAGAAACCACCTTGTACCCAACAATGTTTCAGCTTTAAAGCCATTACATTTGCAACATGCAAACATAAGCTATCCTAAAAGCAGAAAAGGGTGAGTGAATGTACATATAGTGCATGTACCTTCTTCCAATCTTTTCACTTCTTAAAGAACATAGTTGCAAGGATATAGAAATAAGAACGGTTTTTAAACAGCGGGCTTGCCAAGTTTGGCAGGTTCGATAAGAGGAGGGGGAGGGTTTGTGTGCAATATAGATCACCGACAATGTACCTGCCCATAAGGGAGAATTGCTAGAATGACAGTATGTCTATCAGGGTGGCCAACTAGGGATGTCCACATACATTGGGCAATGCTGAAGTGCTCGTTTATGGATTTCATCAAAAGTACAGCAGTATCAAATTCAAACGTGCTTGTGCTGCAACTTGTCCCAGTTCTCCCAACAGAATGTGACACAGTTACTGTGTCAGGTGATCGAGCAGACAATTTAAAGATTGACTCAAGTTAAATGTTATAGGACAACTGTCATTTCACAGTTATTTTTAATACAATAATCCGTTCATCAAGCTTCAAAAATAAAGATTCTTTGTTAAATTAAGTACATGTAAAAAGTTGAGAAAAACTCACCTGTACCTTTAGTATATGACAGGATCCTTCAGCCATATACATACACCTTGGGTCATAATGTTTGAAAACCTGCAGTTCGTCTCTGTATGGTATGTCTTGCATCACTCCCTGCACAGTGCAATGATATCATCCTAATGTCTAACTGTCCAATTCAAACACTGTACATTAACCCCTTAGTGACCAGACCACTTTTCAATTTTCTTACCATTGAAGACCAGGGCTGTTTTTACATTTCTGCGGTGTTTGTGTTTGGCTGTAATTTTCCTCTTACTCATTTCTGTACCCACACATATTATATACTGTTTTTCTCGCTATTAAATGGTCTTTCTAAAGATATCATAATTTTCATATCATATCATATATCATTTACTATAAAAAAAACCACACTTTTTCTAACTTTGACCCCCAAACTCTGTTACACATCCACAACCGCCAAAAAATACCCGTGATAAATAGTTTCAGAATTTTGTCCTGCGTTTAGAAATACCCAATGTTAACATGTTCTTAACATGTTATCATGTTCTATGTTTTTTTGCAAGTTATAGGGCTACAAGTACAAGTACTGTTTCAAAATACATATGTTTAAAATGTATCAATAGTAACATTGTATAAAATTTATCAATAGTGACATTGTAACACTGTTATCTGTCATAAATCTCTGAATCACACCTCATATGTACATTTTAATTTTTTTAATTTTTTTTTAAGTAGAAAACCCAGGGTCTTTAATACGGGGTATGTCCTGTCTTTTTTAGCAGCCTCTTAGTCACAAACACTGGCCAAAGTTAACATTTATATTTGTTTGTGTGTTAAAAATGCAAAAAATAAGTATGAACGCTAACTTTGGCCAGTG